TACGGATTACTTTTTTTAATCGTTTGTTACTTAGTGAAATATTTAAAGGCTAAAATTAAGCGGTATCTATTTAATATATTAATTAAGTATTAATTCCATATTAACAATAATTCTGTAACTATTCAGTATATTAATTAAGTATTAATTCCATATTAACAATAATTCTGTATCTATTCAATATACTAATTTAAGTATTAATTTTGTATCAACAATAATTCCATATCTGTTCACTATATTAATTAAGTATTAATTCTGTATCAACAATAATTCCATATCTATTCACTATATTAATTAAGTATTAATTCTGTATTAACAATAATTTAAGTATTAGTTCTGTAGCAATGGCAATTCCATATCTATTCAATATATTAATTAAGTATTAATTCTGTATCAACAATAATTCTGAATCTATTTTTTTATTTTTTTTAATTCTTTGACAGTCTTGCCAGTACTCAATTTATTAAGACTCATTAAGGTGAGAGTAAACTCTCTCAAACAATATATTATTATTTATAACCAAAACAATATATCTCACGATTGTGAGCCTGACATCACCTGGCTGCAATAAACGTGTCCACATGCGACGCACCAACCTGTATACAAGTTAGATAAACTTGGTCAGCCCGTCAAAGCTTTTCCCTTCATATTCTCTTTCTTTACCAAAAGCAAAAGAAAGTGATGACCTCATAACAATACAAAACTACTGATAGTACCAAGAAAACAAAATGAAAAAACTAACTAAAAAAAACAAATAAAATAAAGGTGAATTTTTAAAGGAAAAAAAATGAAAGGGGGTACAATGAAATGTAAAAAAAGAAAAACAAAGAGAAAAGCCCGAGAGCCAACAAAGGGAGAGCTACCTCTATCAAGAAGTAGTACAAATATAATGAAGAAAGGAGAAATACACTATTATAACCCATGCCAAGTTTAAAAAAAAATTTTATAACAACTGCAACATTTGTATATCTTGACTAAAGTTATTATCTGACTACCGACCAACTCCGGATGCTACTAGAGACCCGATCCTAGTCACATAGAAGTCCCGTATCCATAAACTATGTCGTGAATCGTATTCACTGATAAACAAGGCACATGGTTGCATTTCTGGGTACTTCTGAATTTGGGAGGTAAACATTGCCAATCTTTTGGAGGAGGTAAGCCAAATTGTCCACTTTTTATCAAAAATTTAGGAGAAGACCAGCCGAGCGAAAAACACCTAGGGAGAGACCACTTGCACCCAAGGACAGTAGTTATATCTATATAAAGACTCAACAACATCTAAAGCTTCTTCTAGGAAAGGGGAGGGGCACCTATACCTTCTTTATGCGGTGAGTGATAAACTCTGGGCTTGCGGCAAGTAGTTATGAGAACTACTTCTAAACGACAAGTGCCGTGCAAGCTGTGAGTGATAAACTCTGAGGAAGTTAGCAGGTAGCATATAAAAACTACCTCTAAATAATAACTGCCAACTTATAACTGCTAGTATGCCCTCCGCTTTTACAATCATTACTTTGTTTTTAACTAAAAATGTATTTGGATTTTTGGTACAAATGATCATCGGAAAGAGTTTTTTCTGTATATATTTAATATATATATTTAATATTAATTTATTATATAACCTTATTATTCCATATATTTAGATTTTATTCTGTATATTATCTGTAATTTTCTTTATTATTTTCGTACATATTTTTCCATAGGGACTATGTTCTGTAACTCAATTTTCAAGGCAAAGATCCCATATATTATCAGATATAGATATATATCTATATCTATATATATTAGATATAATATGATCAATATCGATATGATACTATATAAATTCAAGAAAACTATTTTTTTAGAAAAAAAAAAAGAAAAAAAAGAGTTTGAATCAGTTAAAAACAATCTAATTTTATTAAAAAATTTCCTTTTTGTGCTTGTGTGTCTATTTTACTTTATGTTTATGTTACTACTTTTTGGTAATATTTGGTTTTTTAGTTTTTTTTTCTTCTGATTTTTTGCTGGTATGATGAATTGATAATCAGTGATCATCAAAGGCTATAATAAAAAATCATAATGAAAGAATTAGACTTTTTTTTATTTTGTCGATTGTGTAGTGTAATGTGTAATAAAAAAGTAGATACTGTGTTGTATATTCTTTACATATAATGCCATCTGGGGCTGTTATTGTCACTGAATAATATGTTCTGATTGGTTGCTCAGCTTATGGCTTTGATATGTTAGGGATACTAAGCCTCAACATGCACCAGTTAGAGATACTAAGCTCTAATGCCTGTTTTAACCCGGCTAGCAATGTAAAGCTGCGTGTTATTTTCCTTACAAGTCATTAACCTAGCATTCTATTTGCTACAGATAATATTGCCATTTGTTTACTATAATGTCAAGCAATGAGAGAAGATATCTCCACAACCACCTGATCAAAATCAATAAATTTTTTTTATTTGAATTCTATGGATTCGCAGAATTCAAATAATAAAAATTTAGCCAGATAGTTGGTCTGGATATCTTGATTAAAATTTTAAAATTTTTTACTTTTGCTGGGGTACGGTAATGTTAGATCAACATCTACAGTGATCGACATGAAAAATGGGTTGGTAAAATCGGTTCGTAAAACCACACACTTGTATTTCGTACTACGTTCCAAGTTTTTATAGATTTTAATCACGTGTCTCGATTATTATTGGTCAAAATTTCACATTAGCAAAGAATTTAGTCCGAAATTTGAGAAACCGCTTAATTTTAGCCTTTAAATATTTCACTAAGTAACAAACGATTAAAAAAAGTAATCCGTAAATCTGAAAGAGAGGCTTTAGATTTACTATTTTTACGGTTAATATTTTTTAGATAATATCACTAAAATTTGAGGACAAGATTTTATTTGAAATTATATAAAATTTTTTGATGACTGTAAGTGACTTGAGCCATAGGGAAATTATTCATTCCTCATTTAATTTTCTATTCACTAGAATTTATAGTAATCATATACTTAGATAACGATTGATACTTTCAGTTTATATTTAAGACTAACTTTATGCATTGAGTGCTAAATTATTTTTTAATTTGATTTATCAAGTCAAATAAAAAATTATCAAATTAAAATAATTGGTAACGTCATGTTATTATCGCACTACCTGCTATATCTAATTATTGGTTTAAAATTGGGCAACAAAACCGCCCATATATACAATTTTTAGTTTGATTATAAGAAAAAAATTATGAATAGTCTTTAATTTAATAAAATAGTGTGTACTTTGTGATTGTAATAATCAATGGCGATTAAGAAATAGTAAAAAAATTTTAAGATCTAACAACTAGTTAATTAATTGTCTTTTTGAACATTAAATAGTATTATTCTTTATGTTCAAACTTGAAACGAAACTTAAAACTGTCTATATCAAAAATTCCTCTTCTACATGTAATAATTTGGGTTTTATTAGGAACTATTACTTCAAATGTTTCTTTGAAATCAGAGAAAATTTTTTTCTAAAAATTTATTTAGAATGAATTTCAGTTCAAAACTGATTATAAAGAAGAAAATATAATGAATTAATCATTCTTACCACATTGGATTTATTAGCCTTTGCACCATTTCTGCATTTGAATTTAGCATAGACTTCCTCTAATGAAAATTTTTTATAAGCATAATTATCATATAATATTTTTATATATACTGCAAGTTTATTTTTGACATACCATTAGGATCAAGAGTGCCATACCATTTACTTTCAACAATATATTTACGTTTATTTACACTATCTTGAGTAATAACAACAGGTAAAGGTAAAACTTCATGCACTGGTACTGGATCAGGTATTTCTGGTTTTTTTATAGCATAAGTAGCTACAGCAATTCCCATGAAAAAAGAAGAAAGTATAAAAATCAAAGTAAGCTTCATATTTACTGTGTTTATTTCACAACAAGGATTTTTAGATTCAGAAGTATAGAATATTAGAGGAATTACAATTGTTTAAATTGAAGTAAAAAAGACACAAAGTACTTATATAACATCTAAACGATCATTATACGTTCGGACAAAATCCTACTTTGGGATCGATTATATTTATAATAATTAAACAAAAATTTAGTATGAAATTATTTTTAGTGTTCCAAGCTGATTAAGTTAGCTGATTAAGTTAGCCGCTTAGCCAACCGCTTAGTCGCTTAGCGGCTAATAACGGCTAATGATATTAATTACAAAATTCAACTAAATTTATTTAATAAAAAAAAAAAAAAACCAACTAATATTACTAAACTCGAATCTCTATTATACGTCGAATTAAAATTTCACATTAAGTCAAAATAATTTTAATGCCACTAATATATACTTACCCTTAACATAGGAATTTACTTTAGGCGGTATTGAAATTTGATCTGACACAGATTTCAAATTGACGTATAACATACTATATATAAGCTTTAGTAAACACACCTCTATTTGATTGAATACTTATCTATTTCCAAGAATTTAATTTGTAAATTTAAAATTCTATATTATAAAAGCAGTCGAAATATTTAAAGTACAAAATAAACCTTGAATTTAAAAAGTTATTTATTGTTAATTGGACCAAGTTATTTGATATACATCATTCAATATTTACTATATATAGACGTCCTATGATTCAGTATAACATACATTACTTATTGGACAAGCTGCTAAGCCATTAAAAATCTAATGGTTTAGCTAGCTGTAAAAATTTAATCGACTTGGATTGATTAATAAAATACGAGGGCTGTTTTACAATGGCTTCATTTTCTATAGTGATAGTCTTTTCAATAACTCAAATAATAATGTTGAAAAGCGTTAAATCTAGCTAATAGTGTCAGACATTGTATGATTTTTTTTATTGAGAATATGCAGCATAAGTCGATTCAATTGATGTATAGACCAAGAGGAGGTATGCATCCATGAATAGCAACTAATATTGCGTTGAGTATCGTAATCATCAGTTAAATTCACTATGTGTAGCATCTGCCCGTGGTTTTTCACGCAATATAAAACAAGCAGACATGATATAAAGTTTAAAGTTACCGAATAATGGCATAATTCCATATGGATTCTGTAAACCTCACTTCTTGTGGTTGTAAAAAGAATACTTAGACATTAGCGATTCCATAATGTTTCAACTTAGCCAATTAATTAAACTGATTTCAGATGCTTTTACGGTATTAGATAATTTGCATGCATGATTAGGATTAATTGGTGTTCTTGCTTAACCGGATCCTTTCGCATATTCCTGCTTACTGTATAAGCTCGAAATAATGGCCACCTGCGCGCTAATTAATTGACCTGCATGTTATTTTAATACGCCCACGTGCGTTATTTCGAAATAAGAGTATTTTCTAAAACCCAATAGAATCAACCTTTCATAAATGAATGCTTTGGTGTAAACTATATAGTTATTGGATGTGTAGATCTAATAACAGCTTTATTTGGTAGGTGAAGGATTTTAAACATCGATCATCGGGAAATAGTTCAAAATTTTAAAAGATAACAATTTTGATCCGAAGGAATTAGAAGTTTGAAGAACATCATCACATGATTAAGCGCTCCCTAAGTTAATGTTAGGGTTAGTGTGATAATATGGTTTATGTCAATTTGTTTAGCGCTACGTAGTAAATAAATGACGTACGTACATACGTACGTAATTGCATTATTTCATTTAATGTGATGATCATTAGGTTCCTTGTTCAGTATAAAAGATCATCAGGTAGCTCTTTGCCAAATTAATTTAAAATAAATTAAAATAAATTAAAAAATAAAATTAATCGAATTAGAACATATATGTTTATTTCAGTTTATGATGAAACGATTCAAGAAAATCTACTGAAAAAAGAGCTTCCGAAGTGTTTTTATTCGATTGTGAAGAGCTAGAGAACTAGTATTAATGAGTAAGAAGAAATATTTAAATAAACATTTAACTTTTACGGAAA